CTGGTGCTCCTCCCGCCACCGAAGTTGTGCTCCTCCTGCCACCGAAGTTGTGCTCCTGCCACCGAAGTTGTGCTATTCTGGTGCTCCTCCCGCCACCGAAGTTGTGCTATTCTGGTGCTCCTCCCGCCCCCGAAGTTGTGCTGTTCTGGTGCTCCTCCCGCCACCGAAGTTGTGCTGCTCCTCCTGCCACCGAAGTTGTGCTATTCTGGTGCTCCTCCCGCCGCTGAGAAAACTCTGGGTCAGAATTGCGTGCTGGAAGTTGTGCCGTTCTGGTGCTCCTCCCGCCACCGAAGTTGTGCTATTCTGAGTCATGGTGATTATTGAAAGCTAAGAAAAGAAAGGCCAGGTTGGTGTTCCGTGGATTTTCCTGAGAAAACTCCGGGTCAGAATTACGTGCTGGAAGTTGTGCTATTCTGGTGCTCCTCCCACCACCGAAGTTGTGCTATTCTGGTGCTCCTCCCGCCCCCGAAGTTGTGCTATTCTGGTGCTCCTCCTGCCACCGAGCTGCGCTATTCTAGATTGTCCCCGCAGAAGCGGCGGGTCAGAACCGCGCCGGTCCCGTGACTCTGGCGGGCTCCAGCCCTGGGAAGGCGTGGACGGGGGGGTCTCCTGGCTGGCAGGTTCTTCGATTTTGAGGGTGGAGCCTATATATAGGTGAGTGTCTCATGCGCATGCCCATGCCGGAGTCTGGGGGGGAGTGTTAAAGAGAGATGAGAGGTGCAGAAAAAGAGATCAGTGAGCCAGAAGTAGATTGATGCAAACTTTACTACATTTGGTCCTGCAGACTGCTTTGCAGTAGGTGACTGTGAGCAAAGCTTTTTGGTGAAAGAGACATGTTGGTCGAACAAGGCACAACAAAGGATGACACAGGCTGGCTACCTGATAACCTCAGCAAGTGCAACTTGCGAGCCCTTTAGCCGACTGCCATACTTCCAAAGCAATACCCGGGAACAGCCATATGACTGTAGATAAGTCTAAATACAGAAAGTGCTGGCGCTGGCAAGGCAACACAATGCATTTTAATCTTCAAAGCAGCAGCATTCATGGTAGCAGCGTTCATGGTGGCAGCATTCATGGTAAAAGATTGGGAGTGAATGCGACGTGAGGGCCTTCAAAGAGAGATGATGGGAGTGAATGAAATGAGATGAATGAGATGAGATGACAGGGGGTTCAACCTTCAAACTTCAAATCACAATTGAAGATCACATCTTGTTGAAGTGGCCTGATTTTTGCTTGACATTTCTGGTGCTCCTTCTGCTGTGAAGTTTAGTAGCAAAAGTGCTTGACGACCGTTACTGTGAGGAGGGATACTCTAAAGTATATTGACCTTTCAATCAAAAGGTGATTCTGATTCAGGTGATGTCTTTTCTTTTGATTGACACACGATTGACTTTCTATCCACTTACTTCGGCATTTACTTGGCTGGCCACAAGCTACCACTACATCATCTACATCCCACTTCGACAAGCCGCCGCTCGGTTTTTCACGGCACTCCCCCAGGCCCAACGGGCCGCTGAACCGCCCTTGGGCGAAACGCAGCCATTCCGCGTCGGTTCAAAGCGGACTCAAACGGCAAAAGGTTCGGATGACAGGGATATGACGGTCCAAATCACTTCGATACTTCCACTTCGGATGACACTCCTGCCGGGATCTCGAAAGATCATGTGCACACGGGCTGCACATTTGCCAACGCGGCATTTTCCGGCCAGCACGATTGGTACCGTCAAAACAGATTTGGGGAAAGGTCGGATATGCACCCTCTTTTGAGCAAAGAGTGGATGTCTCGGAATGTTTCCAGGTAGGAGCCTCAAGTTCACTTCCTCTTCGGCAAGCACCTCCAGACATGGTTCAAGCGTTCTTCCACTTTTCTTGTTAGACTCACCCCGCCCCTCCACTCAACACCTGTACCACTGTGTTGTGTGGGCGGATTGGGAAGCTTCTCAAACTGGCTCCTTGACATCATTTGGAAGTCTTAGTTGACCTGCGACCAGTGAGTCAGGCCTGTCGCCGCTGCAAAGCCCCAGGTTGAGGAAGACTCGTCTTTCAGCAGCTTACAGGCCCAGGACAGTCGTGGAATAGGTGTATGTGACGATACGATGCATCGACTGACCACGTTTCAAACGATTGACAAACATCTTTGAAAGTGGGACTTCCAAACCCGACGGGTCCGTAAGGGATTTTGAAGGACGTACCCTACGAAAACACAGAACACAGCATCCCCGTTGTAAGCCTTCAATTTGTTAGGAGTGTTAGAAAAACACACTTGACATGTTCTTGACATGCACCAAAGGCCAAGGAAGAAGCCAGTGTCTTGCCCCAAGCTTTGATCGACAAAGTCTTTGCAGAAAATGGAGCCTGAAGCCGAAGACAGTGACGATAAACGCACCTGGGTTAGTTCAGCAGCCTGGCGCAGTTCCACAACGCTCTGAAAGTTGCAAACAGGGAGTCATTTCGAGCCCCTGAATCATTGCAAAGTGGAAACACTTTCTTTCATTTTTGTTGGACTTTTGTTGGGTTTGGGCATTTTGCGAAGCTTAGATTGGTAAAGCATTCTTGTTCAGTCCTTCGGGCGACTGTCTGAGCACGGGTCTGCTCTCAGCTTGACATGTCGAGCTCTCACTGTTAGAGCTTCGTTGTCCTCTCTGACCACCGAGAGCGGTATGGAACAATATCAGCTTTGGTGTCCGCTTGTGGAATTCTCAG